CTCTTGGTGACATTTCATGTCCAAAGCATAAAGTAGACTTTCTCCTGCATTTTGAAAATATAATCAGAAGGTTATGGCACTATGCTTTTGGGTGGAATAGGTATTCCATTCAAGAATGATAAAGCAAATACAGCCAAGTCCAAGCCAGAGATTCCTCCATGTGCTCACAACTGCACCTGTAATATCTGTGGAATAAAAGATCATACTAACTAAATTACAACATTTTCCATAGTGCTGCGATGTACATCAGCAAGAGAGTCCCTACCTAGAAACACAAATATACTTCTTGTCTTCATAAAATTATGAATCAGGGATGAGAGTTAATTGTGCCTGTAAGTGTCATTAATCAAATAACATTTATTAACAAGAGTCAAGTAAGAACTACCTAACAAAGTTATCAACATTTGAAACTGTTGCTGAACTTTTAACTCTCTATAAAAGATTGAGCAAGAACATGGAGTTTGGGTGCAGAATAATGCCAACATTCTGGAACAGAGCCCACTAAGAAAACATTGGGACCATGATTTCTTTCACTTTTTCATCAGATATATAAAGAATAAATTGTTTATAGGTTCAAGCTATAATACTATAGGTCCTCCCAAACTCCTAATTATTTTATTTGTTTTTGAGACACTTTTCAAAGCTCAGGCTTGTTTGGAACTTGCTGTGTAATTCAAGCCTGCTTGAACTCTCCATGCTCCTCCTAGCCTTCCAGGACTGAAACACAGACATAAAAAGATCCCCATACCCCTTTGCAATTTAGTAGTCTCTGTTCTGCTTCTAACTAACCAATTTGGAAACAAAACACTCTCAGTCACAAAGTTTATACCTTTCAATAAAATATAAATATACCATGGGAACTAAGGAGAAATCGGATATTCTTAAAGGTATAACCCCCATAGGATTGTGCCGTTTGCTACCCCTAAAATGGGGTCTTGAATTGCACTAGAGATCTGGCATTGGCGTTATTCAGGATCTTCAGTTTTGACTACACATAAAATATTTTTCTCTTCTCAGACTGTCTTGTATTCTCTTCCCTGGGCAGTTTTGTGTTACATGCCCTCATTTGTGAGAGAATCTGCATAAAACTGCCCTGGCCCTTTTTACCACCTTTCCCACCCCTGTTCCACACAAGATAATTAGAGAAATGAACAGCAGCAAAAACCCTAATGGTCTCTGGAAGCCTACGCAAGAATATTTCAGAACAAAGCAAATAGAAACTTCAGATGTTTTTGTGTTGTTAACAAAGTTGTGAAATTTGTGAGGAAATCGGGACCAGAAAACTCTTTTTAATATTTTCCAGATTCATTGTCTCTAATTCTTCATGTCCCTAGTCGAACTTTAACTTAATTATAAAACAAAATCTATAGCTGCAGCTCCAGCCTGAGGGTAGAGTCTGCACTACTAATCAATGTTAATTCCCTGGGCCCAATTTAATTACAAAGCAACATTTGGTACAGCTGCTAAACACTTACCAGGTGACCACATGATGATACTGGAGCAGGATTTACAGGTCTCTTGTCTTGCTCACACACTTTTAGCACAGCTATGAATCAGTTGTGTACAAATTTGAGCAAACTCTTGGATTTATCCTAAAGATTTGCTTGACTTTGCAGAACTCTGTAGCTAAGCCTAAGTTATACCTTTGACAAATCGGTATTGGCTATGGTGTGGATAAGATTAATGTATTGATGCAAGAGATGTCCTAGTAAAGCAACACAGTAGCAACTGGACAACATATACATACCTCTTAGCTGATTTCATTCATTTCTTTTCCAGTGATGCAGACCCAGGGAAAGCAACCCACATGTATCATGAGATAGCAACTTGGGTTTTGGTCATCATCAATAGTATTTATGAATACAATTGGACTTATCTAACATATCTCTGCTTTTTAAAAATATTCCATAAAAATGAAACGTTATGATTACTTGTGTTACTAAAACTCTTCAGTTAACAAAATTAAAGTTAGCCACTGATAGTATTTAAATAGGTAGCCCTTCCCCTATATAATAGTATTTAAATAGGTATCCCTTCCCCTATATAAATTATTTTAAATTTGCATTATATTCACATCAAACAAGACAGGTATTTTATGGTTGGCTAACATGGAGGCAGAAATTTGATGATTAGTTCACTCCTGTTCGAGTTTTTTGCTTCCTTAAAATACCCATTTTGCAACACTTGGGACTTGAATACCTTCCTAGGATTTTAGAAGGGCAAGAAAAGTTATTTGAACTGAGGAAAGAAATTAGGTAGTAGTATCAAAAAAGGAGGTAAATATCACTGGTTGATTTTCAGCAACTGAGACTATAAAATATACTTCATTCAAATTAGGGTTGAAAGTGTGAGTTCTCAGTCATGCTCAAACAGAGGCAAAGATGATTTCTTTCTTTTGCTTTGCCTTCCAGTGTGCGAGACTTAGAATGCCAGTCTTTGTTTCCTTTTCTTTCTGTTTTAGAGTAGAACAGGGGAAAGCTAAAGACTGAATATATCATATCTTATTGTGCTTCATAAAACAAAGCAGAGGACATAAATTCATCATGAAAGGTCAGGAGCAATAATCTCCTTCTCCATGGTTCAATTTCAAGTACCACCTCAGATTCTACCCAGTGTTGCCCTGTGTGGCTACTGCAGATCCTGTGCAGGATGACAGATTGTGTTTAAAAGGTGAAAGGCTAATTTCTCATTGATAGCAATGTCTGTTTCCCACCTCAGAGAGAACTCTTCTAACTACTGAGCAGTGTCTGAGCCACAAGAGGAAACTATTTTGCTTGCTGGAAGAAATAGAATAGAAGGAATTATGATGCCTGCCAGATGTTGCAGTGCCCCTCAGGGGGCACCATGATGCTTTTACATATGCTGCAGACAGCATAAAGTGTCAGACCATGGGACTCTGGGGTTCAATGCTAACATTTCGCTGAGATGCAGAGTCATAGGATTTGAGGGTGAGCATGACCCTTAGAGATTATCAATTCAGAGGACATAAATTGAGACTTTGAGAGCCTATGACTCCAAAGTGTGACTCAAGAATTGCTGAGTGTATGTTGGGAGTTCTCCCCCCAAAAGGAGCATTATTCATAGGAAGAATGTAAAAGTATTATGTGAGACATCACATCAGGACATAATATTTTACTAAATACAAACTAACTGTAGAATGCAACACTCTGGTTGATGAAAAGAACTTTGTGGACAGCAACACTCCACTGTCTGAGCGATATCCATGGAAGAGAGGAGACACTAATTTAGACACATTGTGCTGTGACAGGCCTTGTGGCATGTGCTCCGAGAAAGTAAATTATATCATTAAGACAGATCAAGTTGGAATTAAAGATTTCTAGAGTCATGCCAATGATTCTTTTGTTTATTATTTACATTTAATAACCAAGCAGATGAAACAATATTACTTAGAAAATTTTGCCTTTCTTGTTATTTAAATTTTTTTCTTTAAAACATTCTTCTGCTGTTGTTAATTTATCTTATCCCACCTTATCTATTTTACTTCTAAAGTTAAAAGTACAGTGTTTATTGATAGTAGAATGGATAGGGAAGATGTGGTAGATACAAAATAGAATACTTCATTCATAAAGAATAATAGAATTATATTGTTAGCATGAAAATGTACGTAACTGATGCTAACTGTGTTATGCGAATTATGGAATGCTTAGAAAGAAAAGTGGAAAGAGCCAAGATCTCCTGAGCAGATTGGGAACATTTGGGGAGAAGAGAGGAAACCAGGAAAAAGAGAGGGTGATAAGAGGAAGAAGACATGGGGGAGCAGGAAGGCTAAGTTGAGGTACAAATAGAGGAGACCAGGATGAGAAATACCATAATAATTGGTGTCATTGTAGCTTTGAGGAGAGAGCTGACACTAGTGAGATTTCCAGAGATCTACAAGGATAACACCAACTGGAAAACTAAGTAATAGCGGAGAGACTACATCAATAGCTCCTACCTGATGATAAGGTTGGTGACTACCTTATGTGACATTCTAGAACCTTCATCCTGTGACTGATGGAAGCAGAGACAGATACTCACAACTAAACACTGAACTGACACCCTGGAACCCAGTAACAGAGATGGAGGAGTGATGAGTAAGGCAGTCAAGACTGTGCTGGTGAAACCCACAAAGACAGCCGACTGGACAAGGGGGAGTTCTTGAACCCCACACTGATGGATGATAGGCCAACAGTGGACTGATCCAGACTCCATGAATGTAGTGTCAGTGATGAGGCCTCAGAAAACTCTGGGGCCTTGGGTAGTAGACTAGTGTACACCATGGCATAGAAATGAACTGTGGGAGTCCATTCCACATGGAGGGATGCTCTCTCAGCTTGGACACATGGGGGAAGGGCCTAGGTCCTGCCCTGGATGCAATGACAGACTCTGGAGATCCCCCCAAGGAGGGCCTTACCCTCCCTGGGGAATGGTGTGGGGGTTGGGCTGGGGGTGGGGGTTGAGGGTGGGGCTGGTGGAGGTAGATGGGGGGAGCTGGGATTGACATTTGAAGCATGCATGTCTCTAATTTAAATAAAAACATACATAAAATATATAAAAAAGAAAGACATGTTTCACAAGTTTTGTCTCATTTGTGGATTCTGAAGATTTATATAAAGAAATAAAGTCTTACATGTATATATGACATGAGAACAGGAAACGATGTAAGTGACAAAGGAAACTAACAGGAGGGGGAAGAAGGAAAGAGATAGAAAAAGGTTACTAAAGGGGGTAAATAAACAGAAAATATCCTTATGACACAGAACCATATATAACAAATATACAACAATCAAAATATCATTAATAAATATGCAAAATACAATTGATACTCTGGATAGTTAGTGGAATAACTGTACTCAGCAACAATGAGAGAGAGAGAGAGAAAGAGAGAGAGAGAGAGAGAGAGAGAGAGAGAGAGAGAGAGAGAGAGAGAGAGAGAGAGTGAATCACGTTCTCCAGGCTGAGTATTTTTCCAATGAGCTGTGACAAAGCATGCATCTTACCATCACTGTTGATGCACACAACCTCTTGCACTTGAGTGCCAGGCCCACAGTCCTTTCCATTATCTGGTTCACAGTCTCCAAGTCTCACTGCTTTCCAGTCATAGCAGGATGGCTCTTCACAGGGAATGGCTTCCAGTAAGTGAGGACAGTTTCCAGTTGCCCCAGAACCTCCAGTAGGCTCATTAGTAATGTGTCGCTTCCTTAGTTTGAATCCTGAGTCATTGGAGGAAGGAAAGAAATGTATTGTTAATGCCAGAGTTGCAATATTTCAGAAATGGGATTTAACCCCAGAGTGAATGTGGATGAGAGTAGAAGGAAATAGTCATGAATGAATTGAATAATCATTGTATACATTACCAAACTGAAGCATAATGTGAGACCACCAGCATGTATTGATAGAACGAAAAAAGGAAGGAAGGCAGGGTGAAGGGGAGGAGGCAGGGAGGGAGGGAGGAAGAAGGGAAGGAAGGAGAAAGAAGAATCAAAATAGTTTATGGTTCAATTGTTTCTCTCTGCTCCTTTATACCACTGAATTCTTTCTCTCCCACCCTTTAAAACCCCCTTCTACTGGCTAATAGTTCACTCTTTATGGTATTCTGAACTAAATATACATATTTAAAGATTCCAAGCTAACATCACAAATGAGAGAAAACATGTCACAATTATCTTTCTCGGTCTGATTTACTTCACTTCAAATGAAGATTTAAATGTTCTGAGGAGATGGGAGAGTAGATAGAGGAGTAATAGATTACCTAATGCAAGAACTTTTGAAAAAGTGATGTGGCAACTGAGAAGTTGAGAATGCTTCTAATACACACACACACACACACACACACACACACACACACACACACACACACACATAAGACTTTAATGAAGTTATCCAGTAATGGAGGGATATTCCAGCTAGATACCACATGCTAGCACAAAATGCCCAGTCATAGGAATGGGTTTTCTCTTTTGAGTTGTTGGCCACTGGGTCCCGTAGACTCCCAAACATCACAGGCTATTGATAATGCTCTCAGCTATCATCCAGAACTTGATGGAAATATACTATGTAAGTGAGTCACAGACCAGGAGAATCTAAGCTTGTGTCAACCTGGAAGCCTTAAACCTGTTCAAACTTTCATAGTGCTAGAAGGTGCTGCACACATACCCCAAAGAGAAATAGGAACCAGCTGTCTTACCTAGTTTTGAACTCTGGAAGCTACAATAATGACTGGCCTAACGTGTCATGTTCACTGGTTTAAGAGTGGCATAAATATTATGGGAGTATCAAACCACTTTTGATTGGATTTCAGTCCCACTTTGCAAGATGAAACCCATATTTGTCAAGTTACGAAGAATGTATAGCTATGTAGGACATAGGCCCTAGGGATGAACCTGAAACTATTGTTCTGCTAAATGAACATGGCATTATAACAACTCTTATTGACTTATCATCGGACCCAGAGAATACCTAATCTTTAAACTGTCATCATAGACACTTTTGCAGTGGATAGTGATTAGCATAGAGTCTCACAACTGATCAAAGGACAAAGAACAAGAGACTGCAGAATTCTCAGCCCTAAATAATGTATCTGAGCCACATACCCTTCTCCCCAGCACACGGATCATTGTAACAGAAGGGCCAGAGGCAGTGAATGACTACTAGGAAACACAAATGACAGTTGTTCAGATGAACTGAGGGCAGTTTTGACAGAATATATGAGACCTACAAAATTTCAAGCCAGACAAGGAACACAAAACATCATATAAAGTATATTCAATTAGTGGGTGTTCTGAACAGGTCATGTCCCCATTACATACCTTTTCTCCCTTGTTGATCATTACAGTTTTCGTAAGTACAAGGTCCCCAGGCAGACCAAGGTGAAACTTCACATTCAACTGGACAAGGAATGTGGCATAGCTGTGTGGTATTAGGAACAGGGCTACTGCATAATTTTGAGTCCACTGGTTTTGAAGCTGTTTGGATAAAAATACAGACATCTCTTAAAATTCAGACAAAACAGATGATATAATCCAAACTAGAATTTGTATGTGTGTGCTGAGGAAAAAATTTGAAGATGTGTCATTAAGATAGTATCCCCAAATTTCTCTACATAGGCTGAGAATAAAAGGAGGACCAAGGGTGAAGAATAAATGAAAAAAAGATAAGCACATCCATCAAACATAACTGTAAGTTCTGATAAGTTTTTCGATTTGTAATTGATGGGTCTTGATGTCAGTAAAGCAAAGGCAACTCTCCTAATAATCAAAATAGTCCTTCAGATGAGTCCTGACCTTCTACAGTTGCATTTTAAGCAGAGTGGTGCTTTAGAGGGCTGAGCATGTTAGGAAGGGGTACATATCCTCACTAAACAAGAACAAAAATCCATTATTTGGTTTCTGGTAGAATAAATACCTGTCCACTTCGGCCTACTGTTTGGAGAGGTGTCAAGTAGATGTAGGGGAATAGAATATCTAATGGTGTTACCCTTGACTTCCAGGCTCAAGCTGATCCAATGATTCCCAGAAATTTTGTCTGTCTTATTATCTGCAAATCTAAGAGCCGCTAAGGGGGACAACTTGCATTTATTATGCTTGCTTATACAGTAGTTAAATTATAAGTAAATGTTGTTTGCTTTATGGTTGTTTTCTCCCTCTATGTTTGATGACTGCTGATTGTCTTTTTTGTAGACATATATATATATATGTGTGTGTGTGTGTGTGTGTGTGTGTGTGTGTGTGTTCATAGTTATATAAAGATCTATTTGTAGATATATAATTGGCCATACTGGTTGGTTGAGATGAATGAGCCAGGAAGATACATAAAGTTCCATGGACAGGTTAAGAAAATTATCTCTGTGTTTATTATCTATCACTTATTCCTTTATCACCTATTGTTTATCCTTAACAGCTATAATTACTATTGCTTCAAATATGTTTTGGCTACATCTTCCCTTAGTAAAGACAATTTTATCCAGACAATTTGGACAGCCCAAACTTATAGAATAAAGGACTTAAACATGTGGTGTTGGGTATTTTTCATTCTTATGGGAGAACACTATCAGTTTCCAACTGTGTAATATTGCATCTCGATACTCATAGGGAACTAAAATAATTTAAGCTACATATCTAGCTTTAAATGATAGTACTGAATATGTACATGCATTGTTAAAACTCTAAGACAGGCTTAAGTACTTGAGTATTCAATACATTTCTGTACCCATAAACACATCTAACACAAATGGTTCCTAGAGAATTTGATGCTGACTACTCTAATGATTACACTTGATATTTAGAAAAATACTCCAGACTTTGTTTTTGCTTTTTCTTCCAATAGTGCTTATCCTTCCATCCTTACACACACCACAGTGGAAAATAATTGACGGGGCACTTAAACTTTCATTAGTCTGAAGCAAAGCAATGATTCTCACTCAAGTCTAGGCATGTTGTAAGTGTATCTTATACCAGCCAAAGCCAAGGATAATGGAATTCATTGCTCTCTAACAGGAAATGTACTCTGTATATCATTGACAGAAAATATGGAAATGAATGCTTCATTTATCTGAATGTAAAAACTCTAGAAAAAACTCTAGACATAATTTGCATATTTTCCAAAAAGTAAAATCTTACTGAAGACCCTAATAGACCTTAAAATGTATAATATGAAGTTTAATTCACTGCAAATAAAAACAAATGTAAAGTTTCATTTATAAAAGCTTTCATACTGAAAAACTTTAGAGATTTTGCTTCACAGAGACCTGAATTGCTTCTATCATTTTGAAATTGTAATATACTTGCATCATTTCCCTCTTCTTTTTCTTCCCTCTTACCAGTTCTACAAGTCCCTCCTTTCTTGTTTTCAAATTCATGGCCTCTTTTTTCATTATATCATATATATATAGTCCTAAATATATAAATGCAACCTTGTTAATCTATATAATGTTACATATATATTTTTTCAGTGCTGACCATTTGGTATTGAAAAACCAGTTGGTGTGATCTTTTCTGGTGTGACTATATCTTCAGATTTCAATATTCTTTAATGACCTGTAATTCTTTGTCTAGAGTTTAGGCTTTCTAAGACTTTTCTCCATCCATATTAGAATGTCTATTAGCATCATTCTTGTTCTGCTCATGTTTAGGCAAGCATGTTGGTGAGGTTTTATGTTTATAGCTTATGATGTTCCCAGGAGATACGCAATCTTTCCACTAAATCAGGTCCTGAACATCTTGTGCCAGGGAGTAAATTTGCCAAATTCCTCCTTCCATGTACACTTCCTGACAACCAGATCTATTGCCAAACTCCAGGCATGGAGCATGATACACAGGAGACAGCTTCCTGAACATAACACCACTAGCACAGACAGTGAGATCAACAATTAATACATGGGACCTCCTGAAACTGAGAAGCTTCTGTAAGGCAAAGGACACAGTCAGCAAGACAAAAAGGCAGCCCACAGAATGGGAAAAATATTCACTAATCCCACATCTGACAGAGGGTTGATCTCCAAAATTTACAAAGAACTCAAGAAGCAGGTCTCCAAAACACCAAAGGATCCAATTAAAAAGTGGGCTGCAGAACTAAATAGAGAATTTTCAATAGAGGAGTCTAAAATGGCTGACATTCTTAGCCATCCGGGAAATGCAAAGCAAAACAACTCTGAGATACCATCTCACTCCTGTTAGAATGGCTAAAATCAAAAACACCAATGACAATCTATGCTGGAGAGGATGTGATGAAAGGGGAACACTCCTCCATTGCTAGTGGGAGTGCCAACTTGTTCAGCCCCTTTGGAAATCAGTATGGAGATTCCTCAGAAAAATGGGAATAAACCTACCACAAGACCCAGCAACTCCACTCTTAGGCATATATCCAAAAGATCCCCATTCATACAACAAGGATGTCTGTTCCACTATGTTCATAGCAGCATTATTTGTAATAGCCAGAACTTGGAAGCAACCTAGATGCCCCTCAACCGAAGAGTGGATAGAGAAAATGTGGAGTACTATTCAGCAGAAAAAAAAACAATGGAATCCTGAGATTTGCAGGCAAATGGATGACACTAGAAGAAACCATCCTGAGTGAGGTAACACAGTCACAAAGAGAGAAACATGGCATGTAGTCTCTCATATATGGATTTTAGGCATAGATCTGGGGAGTGCCATCCTACAATCCCATGGCCAGAGAGTCTGGGAAACAGAAACTTCATTCAGTGGCTGATAGAAGAAGAGGCAGACTCCCATGGCTAAGCACTGAGCTGAACTCAAGAAAGCCAGTAACAGAGAGGGAGGACTGATGACCAAAGGGATTAAGACTGGGCTGGTTTAACCCCCCAGAAACAGCTGACCTGACAAAGGTTTACTTTTGAATCCCAGGCATCAGCCTGGGAATTCAGCATGGGACTGATCAAGACCTCCTGAATTGGGCTGTCAGTGAGGAGGCCTAGGTAATTTATTGAGCCTTGGGCAGTAGATCAGTACTCATCCCGAGTATACACACGGGCTTTGGACTCCCATCCAACAATGAGAGATGCTCTCTCACCCTGAACTCTTGGGAGAGGGTCTAGGCCCTGCCCTGGATGAAATGACAGACTATGGACACCCCCATGGAGGGCCTCACCCTCCCTGGGGAAATGAGGGGATAATGAGGGGTTGGGAGGAAGGCACGGGAGGAGGGAAGGGAAAGGGAGAGAGACCTGGAACTGACTTGTGAAGCAACCTTGTTTCTAACAATTGCACCTTTATTCAAGGCTCACTAAACAGGTGAAAAATAATATCTGGTGCTGTAAACCTAACCATATTCCATCTGGAATTAAGTTTTGGGCATGGCAGTAGACATGGATCTATCTGAAGTCTTCTTCATTCAGTTGTCCCAGCACCATTTGTTGGAGACACTTTAAATTTAGCTTCTTTGTCAAAAATCAGGTGTTCGTAGGGGTGTGTGCTAATGTCAGGGTGTTAAATTCCATTCCATTGATCTGCCTGTCTATTTTTGTGCCATTGCCAAGCTGTTTTCAAGACTATAGCTCTATAGTTGTTTTGTTGAATAGGGTTGTTCTGGCTATCCTGGTCTTTTGTTTTTGTATACAAAGTTGAGAAGTGTTCTTTCAGGGTCTGTGAAGGATTGTGCTGGAATTTTTATAGGGATTGCATTGATTCTGTAGATTGCTTTTGGCAAGATTGCCATTTTTACTACATTGATCCTACCTATCCAAGAGTGTGAGAAATCTTTCCATTTCCTGGTGTCTTCATTAATTTCTTTAAAGACTCAAAGTTCTTGCAATACAGGTCTTCTACTTGTTTGGTTAGCATTACCCCAAGGTATTTTATGTTTTTTTGTGGCAATTGTAAAGAGTGATGTTTCTCTTATTTCTTTCTCAGTCCTTTTATCAGTAGGACTACTGATTTTTTTTAGTTGATCTTGTATCCTGCCATTTTACTGAAGGTATTTATTAGCTGGAGGTGTTCCCTGGCAGAGTTTATGGGTCACTTATATAAACTATCATATCATCTGCAAATAGCGAAAGTTTGACCTCTTCCTTTCCAATTTGTATCCCATTGATCTCCTCTTGTTGTCTTATTGCTCTAGCTAGAACTTCAAGTACAATATTGAAGAGGAATGGGAAGAGGGGACAGCCTTGTCTTGTTCCTGATTTTAGAGGAATTTCCTTGAGTTTCTGTCTATTGTGGTTTGCTGTATATAGCTTTTATTATGTTTAAGTATGTTCCTGTAAGCCCAAATTTCTCCAAGACCATCATGAAGGGGTATTGGATTTTGTCAAAGACTTTTTCAGCATCTAGTGAGATTGATCATATGATTTTTGTTTCTCAGTTATTTATATGGTGGATTACATTGATGTATTTTTGTATGTTGAACCATCCCTGCATCCCTGAGATGAATCCTATTTCATCATGGTGGATGATTTTTCTGATGTGTTCTTGGATCCAATTTGCCAATATTTTATTATTTTTGCATC